GGGGAGGAGAAAATCAAGTTGACAATTTTGACCGAGCGGGGACCGAGCGAAGAGATTGGAGGCGAGATTGCCGAAGGCATCGAGCTCTGGATTGACCTGGAGCCGGAGACGTAGACCAAACTTGAATAGGAAAGGGGGTATCATTAACTATAGGACAAACTCCTGACCAGCCGCGCGTCGTCTCATCTACCATGCCCACGTCCTACTCGATGCGGAGAAGACGGGAGGCTTCCACTGTATCCGCGTTGGATCGATGAGGCGCCTCTTCTTCGTCTTCTGCTTCTCCCTCTGCTGCACCAGCTTTTCCGGAATCACGATCTTGTGTTCGCCACGGTGGTAAATCTGCATCCTCAGTGCGCCGAGTGTGTGCTCGACATCTTGCGTCGTCATTGACAGTTGCGTAGAAATGGTCTCGATGGTCGCCTTGTCTTCGCGCTCATTGAGCCCGAGCAGCAGATCAATGATATTCTCACCCCAGTACTGTCTGTAACTCAGAAGACCCAAATCGGACAGAGGCTTCTCGGGAGAACCGAGGCGGCCTTCAATCTTGGAGAGCTCATACGAGAACTGGATGAGGAGACGACCGTAGCCTTTTCGCTGGTATTGCGGTAGCGTGAGAATACAGGCCACATTGTAACCGTCTGCACTTTCCTTTTCTTTGGAGAAGTAACCAACAAAGTGAAAGCCCTTGTCGTCTCTGGTCGTCATGACGTAGAATAGGAAAGGGTCGACGTCGTAGTAGAGCGTTTTATGGTCAAGGAACATTTTTGACAGCAAACAGAGGTTGCGACACCATGTCCTCTGCCTTCGTCCGTCAATTTCAAAGAAAGAAATCGAGTCGTCACGGTAGATCTCGTTGCCAGGCGGGTGCTGCAGGGTGCACTTGATGCGGTGCCGCGTGAACGACTTGAGGTCCCCGTAGTATCCCAGGCAGAACTCGCAGATGTACATGACATCCTCTGCGCCAAAAATTTCGGGGTACGGCGAAAAGTACCAAGGGAACAGATCGTGTTTGCCGAACTGCACTTTGGAGATGTTTCGGATTCGAGAGATCTCGGCTGGGTTCTGCGTCATACTGCCGTGTGTCCTAAGCTTTTCAATCTCCGCGTCGCGACTGAAGCCGTTGACCTCGCCGTTCTTCTGGTCCGCCGCGGCAGCACCCTCGTCGCCGTCCACCTCCATCTCGTCACCACCTGCAGCGGGCGTCGAGGTGGTGTCCGCAGCAGCGGGCGTCGGCGCCTGACTCTCCTCGGCCGGCGTGGCCTTGCGCCCCTGCTGCGAATCGACGAAATCGGTCCATGGATGCTGCGGCGTGTTGACCTCGGACGCCGACGCCACAGACTGCTCTCTCTTGCCAGGCCTCTTCTGCGCCTTCTTGTTGCCCTGGGTCTTTTTCGACGTCGCGACGGCGCCCTTCTTCTTCGTGTCTTTGGCCGGCTTCTCCTTCTCGACGCCGGGCCACTCGACGTCCTGGTCGAAATCGATACGCGCTAGCGGCACCCATTCGTCGAGACGCTTGTTGAAGTTGTCAAAGTTACAGTAGAACTGCCGTCCGCTCTTGGTCTGTTTGATGCTGAGGATCTCGGCGCGGCGGGGCACGCCGTTCTTCTCGACCCAGGCGATGCAGCCGACCTTGATGGTCTCGGGCGTCGCGCGGCCCTTTTGGCGAGGGCCATCGTTGCCGACAGTCGGCTCGGGCTGCGTCATGATGGAACCGGTCGTGGTTGTGGTTCTCCTTGATGGATTCGACTTCGGGTGGTGTGTAGTTTGAATGGTGGTCGTGATGGGGGAAAGATGGAGTCGCGCCGCATGTTCTCGAAGTTTAGATGGGGCGGTCGCGGCAGAAAATAGCCGCCCGCCACCACGACGGCGAGGGCGGTCAAGCTAGCGGCGAGAATCCCTGCATGGAAACCCCGGTACATGCATTCCCGCTTTTCAAGACCCTCTGGAAAGAACTTCCATCTTCATTTTCATCGTCCATCATAGTTCGTTTCTTTTGAGCTCTCATGCAAATTTCATCACTTTGACCAGGCAATAAACGGAAATCGGGTCCCAAGCAAAAACTCAAACAGCATGCCCGTCTGAGTTCTCCTTCACCCACAGAAACGACTTCTCCAAGACCATGGCACGCGAGCTCTCCTCAAATTGGAAGCAGCTGCAGGCTCAGATCCAGGCCGAGTCCTCCTCCAAACCAGACGGCAAAACGCCAAGCACCCTCAAGCGGAAAGCCTCCGGAAAGCCCTCGCCTCGGCCGCCAAGAAGCAGAAGAAGCCCGTCGTCTCCAAGACAGCTGCCGCCAGCACCAGCACCACCGTCACACCGCGCCCGCCGCCCTCGCCGCGGCAAGGGCCCGCCGCGTGCCCGCCGACCTCGCCGCACGCATGGGCGCCGCGCAGTCGTCCAAGGTTGGCCAGACCCGGCGCGCACGGGGCCCTCGCCGTCCCTCGCCGCCTGGGCCGCCGAGAACGACGTGTCGGCCGAATCGCTGGCCGAGGCCTACGGGCTCGGCCCTCCCCGGCAATGCCATTGCTCGCCGAGCCGGAGAAGGAGAACGCCGGGGCGCACGCCGGGTCTCGACGTCGGCAAGTTACGTCGCCATAGACTGCGAGATGGTCGGCGTCGGCGAGGGCGGGCACGAGTCGGTGCTGGCCCGCGTGAGCCTCGTCGACTTCCACGGCCGTCAGGTCTACGACAGCTTTTGTGCGGCCGCGGGAGAAGGTGACCGACTGGCGTACGGCCGTCAGCGGCATCGCGCCGCGCAAGATGCGCCTCGCGCGCGAGTTTGAGGACGTCCAAGCCGAGGTCGCCGAGCTGCTCCAGGACAGGATCCTCATCGGCCACGACGTCAAGCACGACCTCGACGCCCTCCAGTTGACCCACTCGATCAAGGACATTCGCGACACATCCAAGTTTCCCGGCTTCCGGCAATACGGCAACGGCAAGAAGCCGGCGCTGCGGAAGCTGGCCGGGGAGATTCTCAAGGTCGAGATCCAGCAGGGGGCGCACTCTAGCGTCGAGGATGCCAAGGTGACCATGGCGCTTTTCAGGAGGCATAAGCCAGCGTTTGATGTCGACAATACGAATCGCTTCCCGACTTTTGCGCCAGGGGCCAGGAGTGCGGCAAAGAAGCCTAAGAAGAAGAAGAAATAGAATGTTCGCCCCCTTCCCCTGAGCGAGAGATGATGGATGGATGGACAGGTAAAGCGGCATGAATACCCCCTTTTCAGATTGAAAATTGCCAATTCGAGCTTGACAAGATCTACAAACGCCCAAACGCCCGCCCAGTGCCAATTCTCCCTGTTCATCACAGCGGAATGCCTTCCATTAACTCCAGAGCGCCCTCCCTGCCCACAGTGATGATGGCATCGCCTAGCGTCTTCGTCGCGAAGCCAGCCTCGCAGTATGTGAAATAGTACTGCCAAATTAGCTCGAGTCATGGCAGGAACGTGGAGGGCGTCGATCTCTTACCTCCCATTTCCTCCTGAACACATCGACACCTTCCTCCGACATTTCGGGATGTTCCTTCAGGAGCGCCGGCTTAATCGTCGCGTCAAAGTTGCGCATGAACTCTTCCTTCCAGAGCCGCAGCGTCTTCGCGTAGTGGCCGCCGATGTTCTCGACCTTCTCTGTGATGAGCGTGCCCTTGGACTCGGTGACAATGTGATTCAGCAGCTGCGTGATGGTCGGTAGGTGGCCGCCGGGGAAAATATAGTGGTTGATGAAACTGGCGCCCAAGTTAGTCAATGTACCTTCTCCAAGGCCGTCGCTCGTTGCACATACTCTTCCGTCTTGGCGTACGCCTCGTAGCGCCCCTCGGGCATGGTAATGCACTGGAACACGGCAATACCGCCCTCCTTCTTCAGCAGCCGGTCAATGCACGCAAAGTAGGTGCCCAAGAACTCCTGACCCACGGCCTCGAGCATTTCAATCGAGACAATCTTGTCGTACGGCTTCTCTGGCGTCGGCAGGGCGCGGTAGTCCATGAGCAGAACCTCGATGCGATCTTGGAGTCCAGCATCTCGAATGCGCTCCTCGGCCAACACCTTTTGCTCCTTGGACAGCGTCAGACTTGTCACACGGCACCCGGTCGTCTTGACAGCCTCGATGGCGAAGGAGCCCCAGCCAGTACCAATCTCGAGAACGTGGTCGGAAGCCTTGAGGTGGGCGCCCTCGATGAAGCGGTGGAGCTTGGTCATCTGGGCCGCCTCCAGAGTCTCCTCTGGAGCGCTGGGATCAGGGTGGAGGTTCCAGATCGGGCACGAGTACGTCATGTCCGGTGAGAGGAAGGCGGCAAACATGTCGTTGCTAATGTCGTAGTGGGCCGAGATGTTGAGGAGGGCGTTGGACAGCGTGTTCGTCGTGCGCGCCAAGCTCGAGATGGCAGAGGAGAAGCTCGAGATCCAGGTCGTGCCATTGCCCATGGCCTCTCGGTTCACAATGAAGAGCTGCCGTCGCGCGTCAGAAATTCCCCATCTCTGCCACAAGCCCAACAGCTAGCTGCTCACCTGGAAGAAGGCTGTGAGGTCCTCGCACTCGACCTCGCCAAGCATGAATGCCTCTGCGAACCCCATGTCGGCGAATAAGAACAGGCGCATCCAGAAGGCATCGCTCTTGACGACGAGCTCGACGCGGGGGACGGCATCGGCGCGGCGCGGCGTCGTCTCCCGAATGATCTGCTTGGTCGCGCCTAGTTTCTGTCCAAAGACAGTCCTCGTCTCGGCCGGCTTGTCGACGAGCAGCAATGTGCCCTTTTCGATGGTGGAGAAGGCGGACAGGATGGCAGGCTTTGCAATGGCGAGGGCCGGGCCCCAGGTCAAGCTTCCCACGGCGCCGCGCACGAGCTCTGTGCTGCGGTACAGAGGTTGCGAAACGGCCGCGGGGAGCAACGAAGGGAGCTTGGGCATGATGACGGCGGGGTGTTGACAGCGGCAGGAGGCTGCGGTAGGGCACTGTTGGAGCAAATGAAGAGGACAATTCGTATGAGGGAGGCGTTGACCGAACTCAATTGAGCGTTTGAAAGCCTTGGAAGAGGTAGGTTGCTCCGAGGGGAAAGGGGGAGTGAAGGACAGAGAAGAGGGGAGAGACGAGGGGCACAACAAAAAAAGCTTCCGGTGGCACGGCGCGAGGGCCCATGCGATCCTCTTTCACCATCGATCATCCCCATGCGACAGACGTGGGGAAGCATGGGCGCTTGCTTGATCGAGGCCGCAGGATGCGCCAGCGCCAGCGCTGGTCTGGCGGTCTGTCGTGTCTCGGTGGTCGGCAATGGCATCTCACCGTCCGTCGCGCGAGGCGTGGGCCGGGACCGGGGGTCAATGCTGGGAATAGTGCTTCGAGGATTTGCAGGGGTAGCTGTTTTGTGCCGTGTTTGGCTGCGACGAGTCCCTATCTGGCGCTGTCTGTCTCTGACAGAGCGGCAGACGTGTGATCCGACGGGCTCTTGTAAGATGTGCAGCTAACCTTCGACGCCAGGCCCAGCGGGACTCGGATCGACCCAGTTTGGTAGCATTAGGAATGACTCGGCAACCGGGCACGTCATGGCACACACGGTATGGCTGCCGTAGTGCCGTGGAAGGTTTTGTCGGCTTGCAGCTTGGCAGCGTCCTTGGCTTCTTCACGGGTTTGCAGTGTAAGACGCCGTGTGCCACACGGCAGGAAATCGAAGGCATCGTGCCATTGTAGGCAGCCCTGCTGTCAGCGGGACGCCCGGGAAGGTCGTCTGAATCCAGTGATCAGGAACAGGGTCGTCTGGATCGGGGTCCTGTGGTTCCTGGAGCTGAGTGGATATTGCTTCGGGGTTCATGCCTCCAAAGAGTCCAAATGCGTATATCGATGACATCAACACTCGTCGGTTACACCCGTTGGTCTTGTGCCTGGTATGCTATGCACATGGCCGACGAGACTGTGATAACTGATGCATAGAGGGTTTCCTAGCGTGTGACAAGCATGGTAGCAAACCTCCATGTTGACCTGCCATCAAAAGGGTGGCCGCGAGGCTGATTTTGAACTGACTGCAAGAGATGGCCACCGCCGGCGAGGGACCTGATAAAGAAGAAGAAGAGGGGACTGGAACCTCGCCGTGAAACAAGAGGGCCCAAGCTGCGAAACTGCAGGGATCGTGCATCAAAGATCGCTGATCGCCAAGCTCGATGGAAGATGGAATGTGGGTGCATAAAAAGGGCACCGTATTCTTGGACGGCACTTCACATGGCTTATCGTGGCAGAGTCCCTTATCAGAAAGCTCATGCAATGGTGGAGCCGGACAATTAACACACCAGGCAAACGCGTCGAACGCGTGTACCTCATGAACGCATCGCAAGTCCGTCCCCGCCAAACACAGTCTCGTCATGTCGAGCGCCATCTTGAACCTACATTCGGAGAAGGCTGCCGCTCCCAAGGCGGTTGCACACCTTCTTCCATGCCGCATACAACATAACGGACGTATCGACTCGGCGCCGTCCTTCTGGAACCCTACGACATCTACGGGTGCGCAAGCCTTTCTCCTCTACAACCGGATCCTTCGCTAATTGACACGTTGACAGATGGCAAGTCAAAGGCATTCTTCCGTGGTCGCGAACTGCACGGCAAATCAGTTCAGTTGCCCTCGGGCTACCGCGGCATTGTTGTCGAGAAACAGAACAAACTTGTCGAGGCTCCGAGGCCAGACGCCCCGCCACAAGAGGAAGAGGATGACGAAGACAAGATCGAACGAGGCGCACTCAGGGTAACGGCCGAGTTTGATGAGATGGTTGTCTGGGGCGCGGAAAGCATGGCGGACGCGGCGACGGATCCTTACGTCAGGAGCATGGAAGAGTGGCTGCAGGTTGCTGAGAGCATACATCAGTACGACGAGCCCGCGAGGGACCAACCGGCGACGGCATGACGGAGTAGAAGCATGGTGGGAACAAAAGGGCGTTGGGATTCAGGCATGGGACGGCGTAGGCGTTGATGATGCTTGAGTTATGAAGGGCATGGCCTTCAGGGCCATGAAAAGCGTGGAACAGAAGGGCTTGAGAACAGCAATCACCGAGCAAAGTAACTGCAAGTCAGATACGTAGGGCACGCGAGTAGAAAATTGTAGCAAGGGACTGCAGGCGACAAATGAATAAAATGTTCATCTCCAAGGCAAACTAGCATGCCGCATTAGATGCCGAGATGCAGAGCCAACCGCCACTGTGAAAGAGACCAACTGGAAGCCGAGAATACGTAGTTGAAAATGCTTCCCTCAATGAACAGAGTTGCAACCGCCGTGTCCGTAGATGAATCATTCTATCGCGGATGGGAAGGCAAGTCTGTAACATCATTCGTTTGTCGAGGCAAACATAGTGAGATCGCACCTCTGAATGCACAGGTACTTGACCTACCTAGCTACCTCTACCTACCTAGGTGGTAGGTAAGGTACCTTAGGTAAGGTAGGGTAGGTAGGTACAGGTTAAGTACCTATGTGGCCTAGTGTCATGCAAGCAATTAACGTCGCGCGCCTCGACGCGTCCAAGGCGTGACCCCACGCGTCCCATTTCACCCCTCGAAATCGACCCCTGGCTTTTCCCATTTTCCCATTTGCCCTTGTCGCGACATCCAGAATCCACACTTCACCCTCGCTTGCCTCAACACCATCGCCCCGACAACCACCTTCACCCCTCCAAACCATCCATCACCACCGCCTTGTTCTATCGCCTCCGTTGCGCTGCCGGCTTGCCCTCTCGAATAGCCTCAATACCAGCATCCGCAACCATGGCCTCGAGCGAAGCCGGTTACCCCATGTCCGACAGGGCGACAACCCCCACCGCCAGACGCTATGCCCCGCCCAGTTCTTCGACCGGCGGCCGCCTGCGAGGTCCTCCCTCCGAGATGACGGGCGCGCCGAGTGATGATGAGGGCGACGGGTTCGCCGATGACCAGGTCGTGCGCGGATCGAAGAGGCCACAGGATTCGGCCAACATCCCCAAGGTCGAGGATCGCATTGGTCTCTTGATCCAAGAACAGTTTGGAGATTTCCTCGAAGGGTAAGGCCTCCCTTTTTTTTTTTTCCGTCATGAGCGCTATGCCGCAACGTGCACAAGATTTTATGCTGACGAATGACCCCAGCTTCGTCGAAGAGCGCGATCCCCATGGAGCGCCGCCCTCGAGTGCCGTCACCACCGACAAATACTACGTTGCCCAGATCCACGGCATGCGAACATACCAGCTCTCCACCCTCTACGTCGACTTTAGGCATCTCGGCCAGTGGCAAAACGGCTCCCTCTCCGACGCCGTCGCCACCAACTACTACCGTTTCCTTCCCTTCATCACCGCAGCACTCCACGGTGCTATCGCCAAGCACGAACCCCAGTACTTCCGCGAACATCGTCAGCCCACGGCCTCGAGCAACCAGACGAGCTCAGCTGCGAGCAATGCCGCCTCGGCAAGTCAGTCCGAGCTAGGCAGCAAGACGAGCAACCAGCAGACCGATAAGCTGTTCGCCATCGCCTTCTACAACCTGCCTCTCGTCTCGCGCGTGCGCAGTCTGCGCGCCGCCAACATTGGCCAGCTCCTCTCCATCTCCGGCACCGTCACGCGCACCTCCGAGGTCAGGCCCGAGTTGTCTCTCGGCACCTTCCTCTGCCAGGCCTGCAGGACGGTCATTCCCAACGTCGAGCAGACATTCCGATACACCGAGCCCACGCTGTGTCCCAACCAGACCTGTCAGAACCGCTTCGCATGGCAGCTCGACATCCGCCAGAGCACCTTTATCGATTGGCAAAAAGTGCGCATCCAGGAGAACTCGTCCGAAATTCCTACCGGCAGCATGCCCCGAACCATGGACGTCATCATGCGAGGAGAAATTGTCGACCGCGCCAAGGCAGGCGAGAAGTGCATCTTCACCGGTGCCCTGATCGTCGTCCCTGACGTCAGCCAGCTGAGCATGCCTGGACAGAAGGCCTACTCGATCCGCGACGACAAGAGCGCCGGCAACGGTAACGACGCTGGCGGCGCAGGCGTCTCTGGTCTCAAGTCTCTTGGTGTGCGCGATCTCACATACCGCCTTGCCTTCCTCGCCTGCATGGTTCTGCCAGACAACAGTTCGTCCGGCCGGTCTGCCCACGCGCAGGTGTCGGACATAATGACGGCGCTGACCGACAACACACCCGAATCCGCCATTGATGCGGAGGAGGCGCAGGCTACCGTGCTCGCGACAATGACGCAAGAAGAAATCGCGCAGGTGCGTACCATGGTTCACACAGATCGCATCTACTCGCGGCTCGTCAACTCCATCGCGCCCATGGTCTACGGCCACGAAGTCGTCAAGAAGGTATTCTGCTGCAGCTCTTGTCCGGTCTGCACAAGACGACGGCCGAGGGCATGCAGCTTCGTGGTGACATCAACGTCTGCATTGTCGGTGACCCGTCCACGTCAAAGTCTTCAGTTCCTGAAG